CTTACTCTTAATTCTTTCAATTATAACTCTACCATACACTTTACCAGGTACACTCAACAGACTTATCCCCCTATAATTTTTTGCACTCTCTTTTATCCCTTTTGCCTTTATACAAAGGAACTATGCATGCTCTCTGCCAATCCTAGGTACCTTACCCTCTTCCATACATTTATTAAATAATTGCACCAACCACTCCAAAACTATATCCCCACCTGCTTTTAACATTTCTATCTTTATCCCATCAATCCCGGCTGCCTTACCCCCTTTCATTTTACCTACTGCCTCACGAACTTCCCCACACTCACAACTGGCTCTTCCTCACTCCTACAAGATGTTATTCCTCCTTGCCCTATACATGAAATCACAGCTTCCCTATCTTCATCAACATTTAACAATTCCTCAAAATATTCCTTCCATCTTCCCAATACCTCTAACTCTCCATTTAATAACTCTCCTCTCCTATTTTTAACTGACAAATCCATTTGTTCTCTAGGCTTTCTTAACTTGTTAATCTCACTCCGAAACTTTTTCTTATTTTCACAAAATTTGTTGATAACATCTCACCACTCTCTCATTTGCTCTCTTTTTACATTGCTTCACCACTCTCTTAACTTCTCTCTTTTTCTCCATATACTCTTCCCTCCTTGCATCACTTCTACTTTGTAAAAACTTCTCATATGCTAACTTTTTCTCCCTTACTACTCTCTTTACATCATCATTCCACCCAAACGCTCCTCTTCCCTCCTGCACCCACTTTCCTGTAACCACAAACTTCTGCTGAACACTCTAACACTACATTTTTAAACCTACCCCATACCTCTTCGACCCCATTGCCTATGCTCTCATTAGCCCATCTATCCTCCAATAGCTGTTTATATCTTACCCTAACTGCCTCCTCTTTTAGTTTATAAACCTTCACCTCTCTCTTCCTGATGCTTCTATTCTCCTTGTATCCCATCTACCTTTTACTCTCAGTGTAGCTACAACTAGAAAGTGATCTGATATATCTGTGGCCCCTCTATAAACATGTACATCCTGAAGTCTACTCAACAGTCTTTTATCTACCAATACATAATCCAATAAACTACTGTCATTTCGCCCTACATCATATCGTGTATACTTATTTATCCTCTTTTTCTTAAAATATGTATTACCTATAACTAAACCCTTTCTATACAAAGTTCAATCAAAGGGCTCCATTATCATTTACACCTGGCACCCCAAACTTAACCTACCACACCCTCTCTAAAAGTTTCTCCTACTTTAGCATTCAAGTCCCCTACCACAATTACTCTCTCACTTGGTTCAAAGGCTCCTATACATTCACTTAACATCTCCCAAAATCTCTCTCTCTCCTCTGCATTCCTCTCTTCTCCAGGTGCATACACGCTTATTATGACCCACTTCTCGCATCCAACCTTTACTTTAATCCACATAATTCTTGAATTTACACATTCATATTCTCTTTTCTCCTTCCATAACTGATCATTTAACATTACTGCTACCCCTTCCTTTGCTCTAACTCTCTCAGATACTCCAGATTTAATCCCATTTATTTCCCCCACTGAAACTCTCCTACCCCCTTCAGCTTTGTTTCGCTTAGGGCCAGGACATCCAACTTCTTTTCATTCATAACATCAGCAATCATCTGTTTCTTGTCATCCGCACTACATCCACGCACATTTAAGCAACCCAGTTTTATAAAGTTTTTCTTCTTCTCTTTTTAGTAATTGTATACAGGGAGAGGGGTTACTAGCCCATTGCTCCCGGCATTTTAGTCGCCTCATACGACACGCATGGCTTACGGAGGAAAGATTCTTTTCCACTTCCCCATGGACAATAGAAGAAATAAAAAAGAACAAGAGCTATTTAGAAAAAGGAGAAAAACCTAGATGTATGTATATATATATATGCATGTGCGTGTCTGTGAAGTGTGACCAAAGTGTAAGTAGGAGTAGCAAGATATCCCTGTTATCTTAGCGTGTTTATGAGACAGAAAAAGAAACCAGCAATCCTACCATCATGCAAAACAGTTACAGGTTTTTGTTTCACAGTCATCTGGCAGGACGGTAGTACTTCCCTGGGTGGTTGCTGTCTACCAACCTACTACCTAATACTACCTCACATTCTACCTCCAGTAATTCCTACCCTCACACTCTACCTCCAGTAATTCCTACCCTCACATTCTACCTCCAGTAGTTCCTACCCTCACATTCTACCTCCAGTAATTCCTACCTTTACACTCTACCTCCAGTAATTCCTTCCCTCACATTCTACCTCTAGTAATTCCTACCCTCACACTCTACCTCCAGTAATTCCTACCCTCACATTCTACCTCCAGTAATTCCTACCCTCACATTCTACCTCCAGTAATTCCTACCCTTAATCTCTACCTCCAGTAATTCCTACCCTCACATTCTACCTCCAGTAATTCCTACCCTCACATTCTACCTCCAGTAATTCCTACCTTCACACTCTACCTCCAGTAATTCCTACCCTCACATTCTCCCTCCAGTAATTCCTACCCTCACATTCTCCCTCCAGTAATTCCTACCCTCACACTCTACCTCCACTAATTCTGACCCTCACACTCTACCTCCACAAATTCCTACCCTCATACTCTACCTCCAGTAATTCCTACCCTCACACTCTACCTCCAGTAATTTCTACCCTCACACTCTTTCTCCAGTAATTCCTACCCTCACACTCTACCTCCAATAATTCCTACCCTCACACTCTACCTCAGTAAATCCAACCCTCACTCTCTACCTCCAGTAATTCCTATCCTCACACTCTACCTCCACTAATTCCAACCCTCACACTCTACCTCCACTAATTCCAACCCTCACACTCTACATCCACTAATTCCAACCCTCACACTCTACCTCCAGTAATTCCTACCCTCACACTCTACCTCCAGTAATTCCTACCCTCACACTCTACCTCCAGTAATTCCTACCATCACATTCTACCTCCAGTAATTCCTACCCTCACACTCTACCTCCAGTAATTCCTACCCTCACACTCTACCTCCAGTAATTCCTACCCTCACACTTTACCTCCAGTAATTCCTACCCTCACATTCTACCTCCAGTAATACCTACCCTCACATTCTACCTCCAGTAATTCCTACCCTTAATCTCTACCTCCAGTAATTCCTACCCTCACATTCTACCTCCAGTAATTCCTACCTTCACACTCTACCTCCAGTAATTCCTACCTTGACATTCTACCTCCAGTAATTCCTACCTTCACATTCTACCTCCAGTAATTCCTAGCCTCACATTCTACCTCCAGTAATTCCTACCCTCACATTCTACCTCCAGTAATTCCTACCTTTACACTCTACCTCCAGTAATTCCTACCTTCACATTCTACCTCTAGTAATTCCTACCCTCACACTCTACCTCCAGTAATTCCTACCCTCACATTCTACCTCCAGTAATTCCTACCTTTACACTCTACCTCCAGTAATTCCTACCCTCACATTCTACCTCTAGTAATTCCTACCTTCACACTCTACCTCCAGTAATTCCTACCTTCACACTCTACCTCCAGTAATTCCTACCTTCACACTCTACCTCCAGTAATTCCTACCTTCACACTCTATCCCTGAGTTATTCCTAACCTTTGCACATTTAAGACTGCTCAACTATTTGATCATTTACGTCAAACTTAAAATTGTTTCAATTTCATTATTGTATATTGTGCTTGATGATTGCTCAACCATTTACTCATTACTTCAACTTTTAAGTGTTTCAATTTCATTGTTTTAAATTGTGCTAAATTGTACTACTGTATTTTGTAAATTGTGTTTGATGATTGCTCAGCTATTTAATCATTACTTCAAACTTAAAAATTCTTTCAACTTCATTAATTTAAATTGTTCTAAATTGTAATACTGCTTTTTTTTATAAACTATATTAAAACTAATTATTCTCTACTGAACTTACTAAAGCTATATAGTGTGAACTACTTGAATATTTAATTTTCTTGTATTCATTGTAATTCACCTAAAGACCATATGTAAAATTACTGCACTGTTATTGCCTTATTAATCTTAAGTTAGTCTAAGTTTGCCTGAAATGCTTTGCATATAAAGGGGCTTTTGGCATGTTCACCAAATTATTACACTCCTTTGTACAAACATGTATCATGCTAAAGTACACTTGTTATTGTTATTTCCACTTTTGCACATCCCTTTTTGGAGCATTGTATGACAGTTTCAGTTTTTGTGCTTAAATTGGTTATTATAATAATACATAATAAATAATGCATAATAATAATATAGCTTATGTCTTTCCACATTTCGTTCTCATAGATGCGAGCGATGTTCCTCACTTAATGTTACTTATTACTTATACCCACTTAAATCCTTTATTTATTTATTTATTTATTTATTTATTTATTTAGTAATTTGAGCATACATACAGAGGTACAAAAAATACAGGTAAGAGCAGCATGCCAAAGCCACTTACATGCATAGCATTACGGGCTGGCTTAAAATTAACTTAAGATTAACTAAGCAATGATGAAATCAGTGATAAAACATTATTGTAAACAGATAACTATAAAGCACAAATAAGTATTACAAAGACAGGTCATATGGTTGCATGCATTGCTGTACATTCAGTCAAATGGAGTACGTACCATGAAAGCTTCTGGGGTTGTGGAATGAGCCAGTAAGGTCACAGTTAGTGCTACTGACACAACTATGTCACAGAAATGGCGCTTGTAAAATCTGTGCTATTTCTTTCGTGTGGATGGGTATGGGGTGCATAGTAAAGATATTAAACTAACTGTTTTGAGGTAGAGGGGGCTAAGCTTATGAGTTACAGGGATATCTTTCTCAGATCACATGGTGATCAAAATACATCTAGTTTATTTAGGATAATATCATTGGGAATACCTCCAGTGAGTACTAAAATGTGGTAAAATATTTGGTAATAATTATCATATGGTATTTACAATTAATCGATTAAACATATTCCCATGTTTAGAGTCGGTATGTTGGCTACTATGAACACGTGGTTCGTGCTGGTGGGCGCCTTCCTCCGGAGACACCCTTGATTATCACCAGGATAACTTTACATGGGATGCATTCTGTGGGTGCTGGTGATGGCTCTGAATTCTACTTCACCGTTCAGAGCCGCTGCCACACCATACCCTTCCAGGCTAATATTGCTACTCAAAGAAACTGTACGGTAAGAAATGTGTCATATACACTATTATTCTTAATCTTTATAACAGTAGCTTCAACAAACTATTCTTTATTACATATTACTTTTGCAGTACAGTGGAACCCTGGTTTTCATCTTTAATCTGTTCCAGAAGGTCGGCCGAAAACTGATTTGTACGAAAACTGAAGTAATATTTCCAATAAGAAATAATATAAATCCAATTAATCCATTCCAGACACCCAAAAATATTAACAAAAAATATATTTTATAGAGAATAACTATAGTTTTACATACAGAAAACAATGAAAAATAAATATAAATGACTAATGAAATGTATAAATGAACATTTAGCATCATTTTTACCTTTATTGAAGACTTTTGTTGGCGTATGGGATATGGCGAGGAGTGGAGAGAGAGGAGAGGTTATTGTTTGGAAGGGAATCCCCTCTCCATAAGGACTTCAGATATCAAAGCCCTATCTGGAGTTACTTCACTTCTTTGTCTTTTACTGGCACTAGGACCAGCTTGAGAGTTACTGGACCCCTGTTGCACAAAAAATCTGTCCAGAGAGGCCTGTTTCTGGCATCTCTTTAAGATTTACCTAAAGTGGGACACGGCATTTTCATTGAATATGTTGCTGAGACAGTTTGCAACAGCTTTATTAGGGTGATATTTCTCCACAGAGCTTTGCACCTCACTCCACTTTGCACAAATGTCCTTAATCACTGAAGAAGGCACATTCTTCCCCCTCTCTTCCTCCTCCTCTGAAGCAATTTCCTCAGCTAAGGTCTTTTGCTGTTCCAGATAAAGGTCTTGCAGCTCTTCAGTGGTTAGCTCTTCCCTGTAGTCATCCACCACTCTTCCACATCCTGGCCACTCACCTCCAACCCCATGGACTTCCCCAAAGACACAATAGATTCCACAACAGGCGTAGGGTTGTCAGGGTCCGCCTCAAACCCTTCAAAATCCTTCCCTTGGACACATTCTGGCCTCAATTTCCTCCAAGAAGAATTAATCGTCCTGGAAGTCACTCCCTGCCAAGCTTTATCTATAAGGCTTATACAATTGAGGATATTGAAGTGATTCCTCCAGAACTCTCTTAGGGTTAATTCAGTGTCCGAGGTCACTTCAGAGCACCCTTGAAACATTGCTTTGGTGTGGAGTTTTTTAAAGTTTGAAATGACCTGCTGGTCCATGGGCTGGGCGAGAGGAGTTTACCTGGAGAGAGTTCCGGGGGTCAACGCCCCCGCGGCTCGGTCTGTGACCAGGCCTCATGGTGGATCAGAGCCTGATCAACCATTCTGTTACTACTGGCTGCACGCAATCCAACGTACAAGCCACAGCCCGGCTGGTCAGGTACTGACTTTAGGTGCTTGTCCAGTGCCTGCTTGAAGACAGCCAGGGGTCTATTGGTAATCCTCCTTATGTATGCTGGGAGGCAGTTGAACAGTCTCGGGCCCCTGACACTTATTGTATTGTCTCTTAATTTGCTAGTGACTGTTGTGATAGAAACACAGGCCTTATCTCTAGGCTTTATTGAACATAGAATCTTCATAGTACTTCCGCAACAACAAAATATAATGACTAGTACATCTAATAACTGCTTCTACAGGGATGGTGATTTCTTGCATATGTCAGGAGAAAAGTTATAACTACAGGCTACATATTTAAACTCACCATGTAATCTGCATCACTAATATATGGATATAAGAGAAGAGAATCACACACCATGTGTTGGTGCCCATGACACAAACCAAGCTGTTGTTGTTGTTAAGGGCCCCGAGAGGTGGTGCAGAATTATCCTGCTGCTGCTCCCCACAGGAGCAGTATCACTACAGTGACACCCCTGCTTTTCATTGGGGGGATGTTGCATCGTCTGTCGAGTCTTTTGCTTTCGTTGTGAGTGATTTTCGTGTGCAAGTTTAGTACTAGTCCCTCTAGGATTTTCCAGGTGTATATAATCATGTATCTCTCCCGTCTGCACTCCAGGGAATACAGGTTCAGGAACTTCAAGCGCTCCCAGTAATTGAGGTGTTTTATCTCCGTTATGCGCGCGCCGTGAAGGTTCTCTGCACATTTTCTAGGTCAGCAATTTCACCTGCCTCGAAAGGTGCTGTTAGTGTGCAGCAATATTCCAGCCTAGATAGAACAAGCGACCTGAAGAGTGTCATCATGGGCTTGGTATCCCTAGTTTTGAAGGTTCTCATTATCCATCCAGGATGGATACAAGATGGGAGCGAGTATTGTGCCTTGTGGAACAGAGCTTTTCACCATAGCTGCCTCAGACTTTACTCTGTTGACTACTACTCTTTGTGTTCTGTTTGTGAGGAATAAGAACTTCACTGTGATGAGACTAAACTTCCCCAACAATTGGTCCTCTAAGACTTGAAGATGAGCAGGAACATTGTCCATTACCAGGAGGCACTTGAGTGGCAGTTTATTTTCCAGGAGGTATTTCTTCACACTCGGGCCAAACACTTCATTGACCCACTCAGTGAAAATTTGCCTCGTGACCCATGCCTTATTGTTAGCCTTCCACATCACACAATTTACTCTTGATGACGTTGTTTTTCTTGAACACTTGGGGATTTTCAGAGTGATGCACCAATAAAAGCTTCACTGTGAAATTCCCACTAGCATTACCACAGAACAAAAGAGTTAGCCTATCCTTCATAGGCTTGTGTCCTGGCAGTGCCTTTTCCTCCTGTGTGATGTAGGTCCTCTTGGCATTTTCTTCCAAAAGAGGCGTGTTTCATCACAATTGAAGACTTGTTGGGGGAGGAATCTTTCAGCCTCTATGTACTCCTTGAATTCATCAACGAATTCTTCGGCCCCATATTTGTCCGAATTTGCAGCCTCGCCATGCCTTACCACACTGTGTATGCCACTTCACTTCTTGAATCTGTCAAACCAACCTTTGCTGGCCTTAAATTCACTAACAGCAATGCTCGTTCCAGGGGTCTTCTTTACGAGATCTGCATGTAACTGCCTTGCCTTTTTGCAAATTATCGCCTCCACAACACTATCTCCCACTAACTGTTTTTGGTTGATCCATACCAACAATAACTCAACATCTTTAATTGTTTGCGATCTCTGTTTCGTTAGCACACTTACCCATTTCACAACATCAGCTTCATTGATTTCTTTTTTCTTTGCCAGGATGGAACTGATTGTTAATGTGGACCTCCCATACATCCTGGCGAGCTCAGCCACATGTACACCACTTCCATATTTTTCTATGAGTTCTTTCTTGAATTCTATCATGTTTCTCCCCTTCTTTACTCAGAACTTTCTTTGGTCCCATGGTGGCTTACTTAAAAAAAGTGGTTGAAAGCTGAATTGTACAATAACCGGACCGGACAAAAACCAGGGTTCCACTGTAATGTGTGTATATTTTTTATGGTAGTCAGTATAATTTATCTTTATTACAGGAAATTCTCATTTTTTATCATATACTCACCACTGTGTGACCCTTAAGGTTTAACACTTAATAATAATAATAATTATATAATTATTGCAGTATTGAAGTACAGTAGGGCCCCACTTATATGGCAGGTTAGGTTCCAGGGTACCGCCGGAAAGCAGAGCGCCATTTTTTCCAATTATAAATGCATATAAATTCCAGACAACAAGTTTACACTAACATATATTAAGCTAACAGTAGAACTAGGCATTAAAAACAATAAAAAGTCATATACAGTGGACCCCCGGTTAACGATTTTAATCCGTGCAAGAGGGCTCATCGTTATGCGAAATAATCGTTATGCGAATTAATTTTCCCCATAAGAAATAATGGAAATAAAATTAATCCGTGCAAGACGCCCAAAAGTATGAAAAAAAATTTTTTTTACCACATGAAATGTTAATTTTAATACACACAAACTGAAAAAGGCATGCACAATTACATGACACTTACTTTTATTGAAGATCTGGTGATGATTGATGGGATGGGAGGAGGGGAGAGCATTATCTTCTTACTGTTTAGAAGGGGAATCCCCTTCCATTAGGACTTGAGGTAGCAAGTCCTTTTCTGGGGTTACTTCCCTTCTTCTTTTAATGCCACTAGGACCAGCTTCAGAGTCACTGGACCTCTGTCGCACAACAAATCTGTCCATAGAGCTCTGTACCTCCCGTTTCTTCAAGACTTTCCTAAAATGGGCCATAACATTGTCATTGAAATAGTCACAAGCACGGCTTGCAACAGCTGTGTCAGGGTGATTTTCATCTATAAAGGTTTGCAGTTCAAACCACTCTGCACACATTTCCTTAATCTTTGAAGTAGGCACAATGGATTCCACAACTGGCATAGGCTTCTCAGGGTTAGCCCCAAACCCTTCAAAATCTTTCTTAATTTCCATACTAATTCTCACCCTTTTTACCACAGGGTTGGCACTAGAAGCTTTCTTGGGGCCCATGGTCACTTATTTTCCAGAAACACCACCGAAAACACTGTAATAATACGAAATATTCCGAGTGTATGCTTGGATGTTACCGCGGAGGCTGGCTGGTAAACAATGGGACGGCCGGCACATGTGAGGGCACATTGGACGCGTCTCGGACGAAAATCGGTATGCGGGTTTTTAATCGGTATGCGGGGCAAAAATTTTGCGATAAAAGTAATCGTTATGCGGAAAAATCGCTATGCGATGCCATCGTTATGCGGGGGTCCACTGTATATACACAGTACATTCCAACTCCTTAAACCAGTCCTATTTGTCCTATATGTCTACTCCCATTCCAACCCAGCTGTGCTTAGAAACACTGTAAACAACGAGCTGCTAAAAATATATACTACTTGGATGATGACCAACAAACTCACTCTCAACATAGACAAAACATACTTCATGCTATTTGGCAACAGAGCCTTTAATATCCAGCTTAATATATTGATAAATACACACTGAGGGTAAATTTCTAGGTCTTCTCCTTGACTGTAATCTTAAATTTCATTCCCACATCCAGCATATATCCAAGAAAATTTCCGAGTCAGTAGGCATCCTTTCCAAGATACAATACTACGTACC